ACTTGGCATTCTCTCCAGCAAGGCGTGCCACCCGAATGCACCCCCTTCCAATTAGTCATTGTAATTGGGGGGAAGACGAGGGGCTGCCAAAGGGGAAGGTCATTTAAAGTGACCTCAAATTGGATGGCCAACACTCTTTGTGGGCCCAGTGGGGAGATGATCATCTGACTGCTTCACTTTTTACAATAAATAAGTTTATCTCTCGTCTTCATTGATGTTTCTCCCGAGGTTGGAAAATGGTGGGGTGAATCCAGTAAACTTTATGGAACAAGCAGACACATTTCATAATAGCGTGTGCTTTTCAGCATTACGAGACTGTGGGTCCCTGATAGAGGGATAAGGCAAACACTGAGGTTTAGCTTATGTACTTGCAAAAGGTGCCAAGTTATGTACATCTGTAGGTACTATATACACATAATACCGTTTAATGTTATAGTCTACGTTCTAACGTGAAATCTTTTGAGGAAAGGTAGCAAAACATCATTTGCATTTACTTGAACTCTTAAAACTTATTCCCCAAGTAGTGCCTGAAACGGCTATGTGAGTCATGAAGTTAAGTAGCAATATTGTATTAAGCTGGGGGAGATGATTAGGAATAAACTGTCAAGGCAAGTTCTGTTAAAAGCTCTGTGTAATAGACACCAGGGATTTCTTGTTCTGGTAACCTTAGCAGTTGTGGTTGCATGTGCAAAAGAGAGTAGTTGACAAGTGATACTGACTTTTCTTATAACTTCACAAAATACTGTCTTATGTCATTAGAGAACTTATATCCTATATAATAAAGATGCAATATATGCAAGTGGTCGTTACGCCATGAAGCGTAATAACCAACTGCATAACGACCAGATCGTGGACCAGCAGGAGGGTGGGCAGCAAGCTACAAGCGGGCGGCGGAGAGCTATTGGAGGGGGCAAGGCAGTAAGCTATGAGCGGGGAGGCGGCGGGGGGGGGGGGGGGGGAGCCACAGGAGGGCAGGGCAGCAAGCTACTGATGCACAGATTTGTGCTCAGGGCTACTAGTATAGATATATATAGATATATAAAATTCTCTGCTAGGAATAATGACTTCTAGCATCTTTCTAGAAAAGATTTACTAAATTCTCTTTTTCCTCTCATTGATTTTTATTTCCATTATTCTTTTTAACATCAGTGACGATACAAACACAAAATGTGCAGGTTGATTTCTCTGTTAGGTTTTATCTATGTAAATAAAGTTGATTGAACATGAATAATTATCAGATACCTTTCGTTCTTCTTCATTATTCTACTCTGATACTTGTCTTAAGAATATTCTTCATTAGAATAACTGCACCGCACCTCGAGTAAAGTCCAAGCTCCTTCCCGTGGCTTCCCAGGCCCCACTCACTGCCCCACTCTGCCTCTCGGCCTGGTTCGCGCCACCTAGCCCTTGCTGGCCGTCCCACTGCCCTTTGCACTGGTGCTTCCTCTGATGGACATTAGCTTCTGGTCGTCGTTTTGATCTTAGTTCAAAAATCACTCCTGAGAGTGGCCGTCCCTCACCACCCTGTCTGTGGTCCGCTCTTCGTCCCCAGGCAGCACCTCCTCGCTCCCGTGTGCTTCCTCAGAGGCATCATGAAGAAACATGCCTGCCTCACGCTCTGGGTGTGTATCCCCCACCAGCATGCAAGCTCCAGGACAGCAGGGACTTGTCTGTCTCATGTGCTCTCTTCCCATCGGTGCCTAGATCAGTGCCTGGGGCACCAGGAAGCCGCTCAGTGCGTACTTGGCAATGAATGTGGAGGAAAGTGAGCCAAGGTATATGGAAGTGGTGACCATCCCAATAGAGCTGGTGACCGTCGGTAGAGAACGGGTGGCCGTCTGGCTCCCACTGAAGCCCTGCCTCCAGGCTGACCATCTGGGTGTGTTTGGGACCGTGAAAGAGCAGAGGTAGGGTGTGGCTTCCTACCCCGCCGTATGAAAGTCTCTCCTTGGGCCTTCAAACTCTGCTTTCAAACTTTCATAGAAAAATTAGTGTCATCTCTTATACGGTCTTTGAAAGATTGAATTTGCTTTTCTTGAAACTACCACTGCACATCATATTCTCAGCTACATATTCTAGCTGTCCCAGATTTCCTGGAAAGCCACTTAAGCGGAATTGCACCGTACTCACCAAGCAGGCTGCACTTCTCTGTCTCCACGTTTGTCAGACAAGCCATGGGCCCCTGGGGGCAGGATCAGCATCGTTTCTCATCACCTGCCCAGGGCCTGGCACGCCTTTAAATATTTGTTCACTCCCTACTGATGGACTCCACTCAGCGACCACCCCCACATCATGAGCCTTCCCTCCGATTATTCCTCCCTCCCCAGACCCTGCCAAGCACATCCCACGCCCTGTGCCAAGACCAGCACACAGCATCCTTTGACTTTAGTGAGACCGTTAAATATTGATGCTTCCTATGTCCCGGGCAGCCTTCTCTGTACCCTCTGTCCCTGGGATGCTTTGACACCAACAGCATGAATTAGCACTTTTGTGATGATAACTTCCACATAAACAACATATGAGGAGAGCCCTGGCCAGTGTGGCTCAGTTGATTAAGCATCGTCTCATAAACCAAGGATTTGCTGGTTCGATTCCTGGTCTGGACACATGCCCAGGTTGTGGGCTTGATCCCCAGTAGAGGGCCTGCAGGAGACAACCCATCGGTATTTCTCTCTCACATCAATGTTTCTTTCTCTCCATTCCCCTTCCTCTCTGAAATCAATAAAAAACATTGAAAGAAAGAGAAAGAAAGAAAGGAAGAAAAGAAAGAAAGAAAGAAAAAGAGAAGAAGGAAGGAAGGGAAGGAAGGAAGGAAGGAAGGAAGGAAGGAAAGAGAAAAGAAAGAAAAAGAAAAAAAAGAATTTCTAAGCGGTGGAGTCACATATGCCAAATGCCAGCTGGACAGCATGACAGTGTCCCAAAGATGACTCGGGCACACGGTTCCAAAAAACCTAATTCATCTCCCTTCTCAAAACACTTTCTCTTGTGCTGTTCCCGGTCTTGATGAGTGACATTGCTGCGCCTCTGCCTTGAACTGGAAACCCAGCCCACCCGTCCTTCTATCCCATGCGCCATGTCTGATCTCTCACCGCTGGGAGCAGCCCAGTGCCCTGGATCCGCGGCACGGTGGGTTGACACCCGGAGCTCCTAACAGACTCTGAACCCAAATCCCATCTGGGCCACCGTGGCTGCCTGACTCGGGGCAAGTTTTTAACCTCTAAAACCTCTGCGTCCTCCTCTGCACAACAAGATAATGGCGCCTGGGTGAGGGTGAAGTGCCTGCCTGCTGAGCGGTCAGCCCCGTGCCAAGCACACAGTGGGCACTCAGTAAATGGCATCACAGAGGATGGCTGTCATCCAGGTCACTGAACCATTGCCGCAGCCTCCAAACGAGTCTCCCTGCCTCTGCTATGTCTCTCCCCATCCAAACCAGGGAAGGAGGGAGGAGGGGAGGCCGGGAAGGGAGGTAGGAGGTGAAGTTGTTGTCTGGGACTGAGTC